GGAACGAGCATGGTTCTTACGCACATGTGGGATTTATCAACAATGATTGCTTACTCATGTGCGTAAGAACTGCTTGCGCACGTTTGATAAATACAGATTTTCTTGTTCTTAGGCACATTCTAAATTTCATTCGTAAGAAAAAATATAGAACCTTTTCTACGCACTGTTGATAAATGAGGGCCCTGGGGTTTATCGGTTTCCATTAATGATCGCAAAAACCTGCTTCTTTTCATTTTAAGGTATTGTTTTCGTTATAGTGTACTGATTCAAATGAGTAATTAATTATTATTCTACTTCTCCTGACATGCTCTTGCACCTCACACAATTTGGCTGAAAGGATAACAGTAGCCTATAGTGAAACAGGACAGCGCCCAAACATCCTCACATTATATTATTTCTTTGAAAATGTTTATGAATTCTCCGTCTTTCTAAAGAAGTTGATGCAAACATGGGTTTATCAATGTTTTTCTATTGTGTTATACGTGTATGCCTTTGAACTTAAATGGACTGCGTTGTTTTATGCATTTTTGTGATTACAAATAAATCGAGCAGCCGTGACTGAACAAGTGTTTTCTCATTTTATGTAAAATAATTAAACATATTAGTTGGATTTAGCATCACTGATGCGCACTTCTGACACAAAGTAATAAATTACTGTCACTGTAACTTTTTTAATCGTAAATCATTGGTAAAATATCGATGCTAGAGACTTTTTAAATCTTTATAAGAACGAAACATCCGCATTTGTCAAGTTTGTTTTAAGATTTTTTTGTTTTGCGAGTTTTCATTTATTTACCCCCTTGCTGGCGAAATTATGTTGTGGGCCGTTTGCTTCAGAGAGGCATGTTAAGGGTGGGCTTTTAGAGTAGCGCTGGTCCGACAGTGGAAGCACAGCATTGGCCCCCGCCCGGCTCGTTAGCCCTGGCTCGCACTGGCCAGACAGTGGAAAAGCGACAACCCCTACGGTAGTCAGACCGACTCCGCTTGCATTCATTCACGCGATTTGTGGAGATGAGACCCCTCCTGGTAGTGTGATTTATATACTGTTATTTCACCAGACACTGACGCTTTGACTCTGAGTACCGGCAACATGTCAGAAGTGCCGGTACGCACGAAAAAGTGCCAGTACGCTAAAGACTAAAATACAGAAGTGCCGGTACTGTGTACCGATGCGTACCGGCCCACTTCAAGCACTGCTTATAAGTGGAAGAGACTCGCGCTTCACGCTGCCGCTTGAACTGAGGCGCTACAGCGATCTGTCACTTCACATTAAATAATGTCAAATTTATTGTTTGAATTTTGTGATAAAATGCAGAGAATTTGAGCGCTGAGACATTGCTTCTTATTAAAAATAACAAAGCACAAGCTCTTTGTGATTACTGGATGGGAGGCGCACTACAAATAATGTTTGGTGAAGGGAAAAAACGCAGACCTGGCAACCTTGGCTTGAACTATGGGTGATTTCTTAAATTCATGTGCAGATTCAGTCGAGTAATAAAGCCTCTTTAACTTTATGCCGTTGAACTGAATTAAAGCTGCAGTCCGTAATTTTTTTGGTTAAAAATGATCCAAAATCAATATTTGAGCAAGTACATAACCGGCCAGTGTTCGAAACTATCGCCTCACTTTAGCCCGATTCACAACGGTTAGCTTATAATAATGTTTTCTAATTTGAGTGGTACTGGTAGGTTTTCGCGGGAAATTCGAGCATGGCACTGCGTTATAAGTCACGTCTGTAAACATAAAGAAGTTGTCCCGGCTACTAGGCTATCGCACGTGAGGATCCTTCAGGTGGCTGATCGTTTATAGCCTTTTCTCACAGCAGCCGGAATAATTAAATGTATCATTTTGATGGCAGATTGTAATCCATATAGGATTATGTGTTTATGAAACACATGTGAATGAAATTAAATTATATTCCAGTTATAAATGCGCTTCTGATTACAGATAGCCTGGGATTACAAAGATTTGTATTTTAAAGAAAACCAGTTCAAAGGGAGCATAATTAGCTTTTTGGGTTAAAAGAATTTCTTGATATGAAATTCGAAGAGTATGACAATTAGATTAGACTGTGCAGAAATTGAAATCTACAC